TCCTTCAGCTGCCACCATCACCACCTGTCACTGCCTTCTTCTGGTCACCAGTGGTGCATCCCAGGAAACAGTACTGGATTCCATCCTGTTGAATATCTTTATCAATGGTTTGGAGAAATGGCTCAAATACAGCCTCAGTCAGTCCACAGATGACACCAAATTGGGTGGGAGTGTTGATTTGCTGGAGAGTAGGAAGGCTCCACAGAGAGATCTGGAAAGATTCAAATAATGGGCTGAGGACAATGGCATGAGGTTCAGCCAGGCCAAGGGCTGAATCCTGCACGTGGTTCACAGCAACCTCAAGCAGCAGCATAGGCTCAAGGAAGAGTGACTTGAGAGCTGCTCAGCAGAAAGGAACTTGGGGGTGCTGGTTGATCACAGCTGAACATGAGCCAGGGTGTGCCCAGGTGGCCAAGCACTGATTGTCCCTCTGCACTCCGCACTGGTGAAGCCTCACCTCAAATCCTATGTGCAGTTTTGGGCGGTCACATCAAAAAGGACATTGAGGTCCTGGAACATGTCCTGAAAAGGGCAACAAGCCTTATGAAGGGTCTAGAGAACACATTCTACAAGGAGCTGCTGGGGAAACTGGACTCTTTTAGTCTGGAGGAGACTTGGAGGGAACCTCATTGCTCTCTACAACTACCTGAGAGGAGGCAGCAGTGAGTTTCCTCTGCCATGTCTCAAGTGAAAGAGCAAGAGGAAATGACCTTAAGATGTGCCAAGAGAGGTTCAGATAAGATATTAAAAAAATAAAATCACTGAAAGAGTGGTTAGGCATTGGAATAAGTTGCCCAGGGAGGTGGTGGAGTCATCACCTCTGGAAATGTTTGAGAGGAGTCTGGATGTGTCACTGGTTCATGGAGATAATGCTGCTAGTTTGATGGTGGAACTAAATGTTCTTAAAGATGTCTTCCAACCTTAATTATGATTCAGTGTGTTTCTTGTGCTTTTCTGTGCTTGGGTCAATTGCCACTATCAAGAGCTACTCAGGAATCTCTACATTAAGTTGTCAAACTACAGGTCATGAAATTGAGACAACTGTTCAGGTTGTGAAAGGCTTACACTGGGGTACACTGCCTTACCCCTGAAATGCTGGTGTGTTTCAGGCACTCACAGCTGTAGGATGTTCAGTGGGGCCACAGCTGCTACAGCTGTACAGAGACACTGCCTGACAAAGCTCGTTTTGTTAATCACTTTGTGGCACTAGGATTCTCATCTTCATTTGTGATATTTCATCTCAAATGAGATCTTACTGCAGTTGAGTAATCTCCATGACAATAAACAGAAAACAATCACAAACTCCTCAGCTGGTAACAATGGAGAGGTCTCTCTCCATCCACCTAATTTTCTGCATTTGAAGCCAATTTGATGTAAAAGATGCAAAGCTGCTTTTCATCTGACTGTTTGAAGTAAGCAGTGAAATGCTAGGAAATTTGTTTTAAAGTAAGTGCTTGCTTCCACTGGGTTCTTTGGGAAGATCCAGACAGTGAGAATATAATGCTCAAAAGACCAAAGAACTTTTAAAATAGTATATTTATTCACTGTATTTACATTTCCTGTTTTCATCTCCTTTAACTGCCATTGATACAGTAACCAAGCTGGACCTTCTGCAGAATCTTCTCTTCTTCATGAAATGGATTTTCTTTTTCGTATCCTCTAGTTTTTAAAAGCCTTCATGTACTGGCCTTGTTAAGGGATTTGTTTTGTTCAGCTTCTCACATTAATTGAATTCTAAATTGCTTCAGAACTTAGGTTGTTGGCATTTACAAGTTTCAAGCAAGCACCTGTATTTATATAGTCTCACTGTGTTTAAGATTGGTAAAATAGCACAGTGTGCCCACTACATTTTGTTTTATTTCAGACATGGGATATGATTTTTAATAACTCCTTCTCAGCTTGCTTGCTTTATGATTGCTGATAATTACTGGTTTACACCTGCTATTGCTAGCATCTTCATCATGGCTGAGCATTTCAAAATCCTGGGTAATGTTAATTGAGAAATTAACAATTACCTCAATACTAGTAAAAATAAACATATGCGGCAGCAAATGAGTAAGAGTGTTCAGTGGTGTAAATTTAATTAGCAAAGATGAACAAATCAAAGAATCACTGCAATAATAAAAACCACTTGGAGCTAAGACAGATGTGCTGGCTATTTATTCATCTTATGTAGTTTTTAAGAGCAGATATTGCAAAATTAGCTTCAGAAAGTTTGTAAAAAATATGTTACACCTTGCTATCAGAGACAGTACTGGTAGTAATTCTAGGACAGAGCCCATTTGCCCTAGACATTTTCAATACATCTTAATTGATAAAAATTTCAGTAAAATAAAATGTATTTTAATTTTTCAATGAGAATTTATTTTTGGACCTGCAATTTAGTATATGTTAAAAAAAAAAAAGATTGCATATGCACTTGTACACATGAAGAGTGGAAAAAAAACCTGAGTAAAAGTTGTACTATTTGTGCTTCAGGAAAAAAAAAAAAATGTTCCTATAATTATTTAGGCTAAAACACATCTTTAAAAAGATGTATATAACTTTTTATCATTGACCAGATCTGCCTTGTTAAAGGAAAACAAAAAATAGCAGATGAGCCTTAAGACTTTTCTACAGACTAAGACTAAGTGACATGTTTTTGAAATATTTTTTTTAAAACTTTTTTTTCATTTTAACATAGCTATTTGAAACTAGGTTCACATGAATAAAACAAATAAGACTGAAGTATGTAATAAAGCATAGAGTCTTTTAGAGTATTTCTTTCAATGAATTTCCAAGTGTGGCCCAGTCCTGTTTTTTGTTTTGTACAGTACAAAATCTTTTATCATCAATAATTTCCATTATGTTTTTATCCTACGAAACATTTTGAAGTCTTTTAAAGCTCATAAACCCCAACATTCTGCCAGAGTCTTTATCTGAACACGAAAATTTTTGAGAGGATTCTATATGTGGTTGGAAGCCAGTTGGTCCTAGTTCTAATGTTGGCTGTGTCTACTAAAAATAAGTTCATAATAAGCCATAAGAAGTGCTAATGATGTCCCGGAGGCTGCCTTGGGCAGACAGGTTTCCCTCTAGAGACTTCCTGAAAGCATCAACTTGTCTCCAGTTGCTATGTGTGGAACCTGCATTTAGAAGGATTGTTTTACTATGCATCTGAAATCTTCCACAGAATGTGTCTGTTAAGTCAGACTATCCTTTTTGCAAATAATGAAAATTCTATTAAAAGCTAAATTTTCTTCAGAAGAAAAAAAATGTTCAAACCTACATATTGAAAATTCATTTTTTAAAGCTTTCTTCTAGCACAGCAAATTTTATACTGTTTCAAAAATTAGAGAACTTTTGAAGAATTCTCACTCAAAAGATGCCATGGAAATTAGTCTTCTGGTCAATTAAGGTAATTACTGTAATAGCTATTTATCTGTATTTATCCCTGCAGTATGTTGCTATTTTCTGGAGAGAGACACTACTCTTATATGTGATGCAAAATGAATTCCCCAAAAAGCATGATGAAACATGTCTGTAATGCACCTTAACAAATAAATGTGTTCTAGTAATTGCAAGGTCTGTCAAAGAGAAAAGAAGAGCTTTGAGACAGATATTTCATTTAAACTAGGTGCCTTGGGTAAGCCACACGTTTAAAATTGAGAAAATAAATTCTTATTACATTAGAAAATAACTAAACAGCAGACATATGCAAGTGCACTAAATCTAGACAAATGAGGACAACAGTATCTCCTTCTTCTTGTAGTATTCTGGAAATATTCTAACAACCGTAATAATTCTACTGTACCTTCATTTAATGGAGCAAGGAAATGAGAGATATTAATTACCATAAACAAGCACGTAAATGTTTATAGCAAATAGCTGGCAAAACAAAAGGAATTACCTTGGAAAAACAATTCAAGCAACTTGGAAATACAAAGCTGTCAAGCCTAATTAGTGCAAAATTGAGAAGCCTGCTTCCCCTATAGGATACTAAAGTATTTCTGCTTGGAAATGACAAAAAGGTCATACAACTGTGGCATTAAGTAGGACACCAAACCTTGAAGACAGAAGTATAACATGCCTTATTTCGTCCAACATAATGCTTCAGTGCAGAGACCAAAGGGTTCTCTACAGGCCTGGAATGCACCTGATAATTTTGGAACTGATACCTGACACAGTCAATATTTATCTCACAGCCACATTAAGAAGTACACCACTAACAAATTATGTCAAAAGTGCACCTTCACAATCTGTTCTTTGTTATTGAATGGTCTGGGGTTTTTTCTGAGGTAATTTATGGAAAATTAGCACAAAATAAGAGTAAAGTTCTGGTGAAGGACTATCAAGCAGATAATTAACTTGAATATGATTATTGATAAAAGAAAAAAGGTCATTCAGCAAATAAAGATCATATGAAGGAATCAACCTAAGTCACTGTGCAATGCTAAGAGTGAAGTGTATGTCAGCAAATTCACTGACATGAGCCACTTGACAGATTTTTTTTATTTATTCTAAATAATTAAATCCCATATAGTAAAAAAGCTGCTTTATACTGTCCTTCTCTGTTGTCCGAGTACACCCAGAGCTAGCAAAATATTGGTGGATTATCAATAAATCAGTGTAAGTGGCCAATCCATCTCTGTGGCTTTGGACTCATTTTATATTCCTAATTTATCTAAACGTGATGAATTATGATGATGATGCAAAGTAGGATTCGATAACATGTATGCAACAGATGACACTTTTTATTTTAAATGTTTTTTGAAACCTATGTGCTTAATAGTAATTGGGAGGGGGAACGGGGGGATGGGAGGGGGTTCCTTGAATGTTGTTTGCTGTTTTGATTTTGTTGGTTTGGGGTTGTTTTTTTTTTTTCTCCCAGATAAAAGACTTCAGTGTAATCTGTTCCCATTGTCAATACTACTTGAAGAATATAACATCTTCCTGAGGAGATACTGGATGTAACTGCTTCTTCATTCAAACCAGTTTTACACTTACTCAAGCATACTTACATCACATACATCTGTGTGGAAGGAAAAACAGCCCTCTGGATTACTCCACGGTTTGGATTGGAGAAGATTTTTCTCAGCAACTAGAAGTTTGTTCAGCAGTTAACCCATAACTTTTTTTCCTTTCACAGCTTTATTATTCACAGCACCTTTGCTGGAAGCATTTGCATTCCCTGATTTGCAAACTACCTGCATTGCCTGTTCTCAGAGCACTGTGAACAGCTCATATGAAGAACAAATACAGAGTTATGTACCAGAAGTCCTACAGCATGCTGTATTTTATTAAATAATAGAAACAAGCATTACACTATAATGCCTGTTATGTGTTAGTGTTACTTACTCTTCATGGGAAATTAAGCATTTTGTACAATGTCATATTTTAGCAATTACACCTAAAGTAACTTTTCATTTTGTACTGGTGCTTAACTAACCTTATACCAAAGACAAGTACAGTTGCCTTAACCTTTGATACTTTTCACCCTCCATGAGTGCCATGATAGATATTTTTAAAAGTATTTCAGGACAAGACACAAAGAATATGGACTTTAAATAAAGCTGTGCTCAAAGATAGTGGCATATGCATGAAGAATTTCAGTTTCAGAAGCCATTAGCAGAGTAATGAATTGAACTTCTGTTCCAAATAGCAAACTTCTGGAGAAGGCCAGAGAACATTCTGGGAAGTCACTATGCAGTTATCTGGACTGGCCTATTAAGACTTGTGTCCTTCATTTCCAATTCTGTTAGACAAAATTATATCAGTACGACAAAAACTTGTTTTAGATGCACATTTTTAATATCTAACAGCTTAGGAATTATGTAAACAATATACACAAAACATATCATGGCACAGGGGACATAAGCAGGGATAAAAACATGTTCAAGAATGTGCCAGCGTTGTCATGGTTCTTCCATTCATGTGTGGTATGGAGTTATCTTTTAATGTTTTTTTAAAAAGATGACTTAATTCTTTATCCTTTGTGGGTACAATCAATAAATATAGGAGCTAAGAAAGCTGACATAGCTAACGTTTAAGTGCTTAAAGACAGGGATTGTACTGGAGGTTTAAGAGCTTTAATAAACTTTTGGGTTTCCTTTCTTCCCAACCACCTTTCATTGTGTCTTTTTACAAATCTTACTTATCACATTCAGTTATTGCTTCCTTTTAGATATAAATGAGTGAATGGAAATACATTTATTTTCTCTTCAGTGGGAAAAGGTTCATAGGACCATAGTAGCAAAAATATTTTAACTAAATCTTATGAAGATCATATTTCCAGGTCCTTGGTTCACTTTTGTTGTCATATGAATCACTTCTATTGTTCTTTGTTTGGCCCCATTGCGATAAAATTACAATAAAAATGTGTCAGTGACTCCCATTCAATCAAATCTAACAAAATACAGCCATTAGACAAATATCACACATTTTTACCCTGAGAATGCCTCCCTCCATAAGAAGAAATAATACAAAATTATTAGCAACTGTGCTCCATTTACTTATATTTAGCTATTTAAAAATTTGGCTTCTACTGCCTAAGCATCTACTGCCTACAGAGTATGGAAAGAGGAAGAAAAAAGAAAGTCCTCCTGTGGGAAATAAAGCAATAGTGTAGGATGAAATGATGACTAGTTCTCTCCATTGAACATGCCTCCTAGACAACCAGTCTAGACACAATACCGAACTTTTAAATAACTAAACTCAAATTAGATTGCATTACCCTTGGGGTACTCCTTGCTGAAGGGGTAAGCTTCCTGAAGCAAGCCTATTATTCTCTCTGGTTTTTTTTCAGTTTTCCATTCTAAAATCATAAGAATTCTCACTTACTTACTTGTAAGTCATGGAAGACACTATGAAAAGACAAGAACTAAATATTATGTTATGCCCAGCTATTTCATTAATGGGAACTGTATACCACAGCATCAATACAATGTCAAAGAATTTGGCATTTTTTTCTGGAATACACAGCTCAGTGCATTCTAGAAAACAGGACAGATTTATCCTCCCTTTTCATTCCTAAGAAGCCCAAAGTATTTAATTTACTGAAATATTCAGCAGAACCAGAAAAATTGAAGGACAAAACTTATTTGAAATTTATATAGATTGCAATGAAATGCTGGAAGCAAGGAAAAGAAGGGCTCCACTTTCTTCCTTTGGGATCGAAAGGAGAAGAATTCTATCATCTATTAGAAGTTGAGAAGCTCTGTGTGACTGCTTAGCATGCAGTCCGAAGAGAGAATCAATCTAGATAAGGCTATTCTCAGAGATTTGATTTTTAACTTCACTTGTGATATTGCCTTGGTTACAGAAATTAATGTCAAGTAGGCAACAAGGGGTTCAAGGATAATGTAAGTCAAGCAGGCTATCTTCTGTATGGGAAACGCTGTCAAAGGAAGACAGGAAAGGGCAGCCAAAGTACATTCTTCAGGAAAACAGTACCCTACAGCATGTCTGAAAATACTAAATGAAACTCGTGTGGCAAAAATATATACAATTTCTCCGTTTAGTTATGTATTTGTATGCATGTATCTGTACAGACATCTCATTTCTGCTATGATCTACATACTAAGCCAAACTCAAGTATCCTTGTTCTGTATCATGAAATGGTCAGAATGTTTATGAAAAAATGGCTGCATTTTAAAAGCATTGTAACACTGAGGAATTTCACTGAGAGATAAAAACATGCTTCAGTATCATGGGACTTGGCTTTCACTTGTGTCTTTATGTATTCCTGATTTAACAGTGAACAGGCAACTGGAAACTAGGTCTTCCACACCACAAGATTGTTATACTGACATTCTAGTCATAAGTTTTAGGTCATTGGCTGATGTCAGGAAAAACACATACTAATTTCTTATGCAAAATTTCTGGAGAGAGAGTGAGCAGATTTAAAACAGGATTCCAGCATAACCAGCACAGTCACAGAAATTAATATGTTTCTTGAGCTAAACATCATTTTGTGTTTATCAATACACACAAATTTCAAGTGACTTTAAAAATATTTCTCTACAGTGGGTTGTTTTTTATTAATTCTATCGATTCTGTGGAGTTAACTTCATTGTCAACTGATAGGATTAAACATAATGATTCAAGTGATTGATGTGCCTCAGATTTATTTCAAGCTGTAACACAAGAAAGAGGTGGTAACAGGAAATTCTCCTCTCTGTTGACAGTGTTAGTCACATCAGTAGGCCATTCACCTATAGACTATTTTGATCAGAGAGAAAAAGGACTTGTTGTAAATAGCTGGGGAGGAAATGAAGGAAGATGAAAGTTCCCATATCTTTACACAAAAGTACATAGTCTTTCTTTTACAGTTCCTGGATAAAATGATGAAGTATGCATGGAAATAAGATCTCTTAGTCCTGGCAAGCCATCCTAATCCCTAGGCTAGAGGTCCATGGTCATTCCTGGAACAATTTTTTTCAACTCACCAATCTAAAATTATTCCATATAACCTAAAGAAATGTGAGACAGATTAAGAACTGTATTTGTGATGCCTGCAATGGCCTCTATCCCAGTAGAGTTTGAGATGAGCAGCAGCCCTGAACCATCAGTCATTAATTAATACTGAATCTACTCCCTACCCTGGTAGTATGTTTCTAACTGCTGAATTAAAGGAAGCAGAAAACTTTCCCAGGTTTTTTTTGGTGTTTTGGTATTTTGGTTTGGTTTGGGGCTTGTTTTTTTAATGTATCCTAACACATTACACATGCTCTGATAACACTTAACAGATTGCTTATTGCATATAAGCCAGCCAAATCCTTTGAACTGTGAAGCCCAAAGAGGTTGGTGCTTGAGCTGGAATTCAGCTGTTCCACTTTCTTATCCCTGGAATAGGCTTTTAATAGCCAGGGGATGAAACAAAACTTGGCAAGCAGTTTAAAGAGGAAGTTCCATATAAAGTTAAGCAATAAATAGATGGAGCAGCATGAATAGCCATGCAAACTTCTGATGTACAGAGGGTTGTGCTGGTTTCTTTTCTTTTGTTTTGTTTTTATAAATCAGTGCTACTGACAATTGTCTCCCCTCTCTGGGAGCTAGAGCTATTGTATGAGTGGCCCCTAGTACCAACATCCTAAGGCCATTCTTCAGGCTTTCCGCCCCAGATTTTAAATTTTCCTTAGGAGACTGTAGTCTGTCAGTAAAATAACTGTTGAAACAACAGTACTCTAACCATTAAAAATATTCATTTATAAATGAAAAAGTACTTTTTTTTCCTTTCTCCATAAGCACCGTCCCTATAGCATAAGGCCTGACTTGACTAACTGTATAAAAGATGCTTCACTATGGAGGAGTTAAAAGCCTAAAACATGAGTTATTAGGGAAAATTTATCACAAGTCCTGTGAAGCACTGGAATAGGCTCGGGAAAAGATGTGGACTTCCCATTTGGGATTTGATGCTGGTAATCCCATACTGCCATGAGTCTGCTGTAAACACTCTAACACAGCTTGGAAACAGCAATTTCACCTGAACTGCTGAGCTCTACATGCAATAACAAAAAATTCTAACATACCCAATATTGTGAATAATATAGTAACATAGTCTATTAGTTCAACTATTTTAGCCTCTTCCTACTTAATTTTGAGTGAGTATTAGGATGTATGTTTCATTAGAATATATCTTTTCAATGAATGTAGAAGGAACAAAGTGAAAGTGAAGTAGAAAAAGAAACAACCTTGGGTCAAAGTATTCAGGACTCATCCCAGAAATACTCATTATTCAGGTCATTGATCTTACTACCTTGTTTTCAGAATAGAACTGAGTCACCAAATAAAACTGAATTTTTTTTCATCTGGCAGCATTCACAGAGACCAGTATTAATGCAATCTATGTTCTCTGACTTAATCAAGACACAATCTTATGCTCTTTATTCAAAGGAATTTTCAATTTAAGGTCCTGAACTTTCAGTGAGTATTCAAAGAGGTTTCTGTCCAGGCAGACAGTGTAAATGCAGATCCCAACTGAAAATAGGATTATTTTTGTAATATCACTATTTTGGACACCTTATAAAAATATTGAAATAAAAAGTGCTATGTTTAGTTTTTTTACTTATTTGTTGGAGTGCTTTTAAAATACAGTGGCAATATTGTAAGCCAAAAGACATAACAAGAACTTCCTAAACGGCTTCCAATATTATCAAATGTGTTGCTCACTACAACAGACGTGTACATATATTGCCCTGGGACCCCAACTTTCTTTTGCT